AAATAAAGTTGCAGCTGGCAATCTCGCATTTGGCTGCAACATTGCCACTCTGAGTAGAGTGAGGAAAAGCGAGAGTGACTGGCTGATAGGTGGTTCAGTCTGTGGTCCGTAATCATTGCTTTGTGGTTCGGAGATGCTTGTGATGCTGATACGGGGGTGAATGGCTGCTGTGAGTGGAGGTGGCGGTGGCGGAAGCACTTTTAGTAGAGGGGCGAGTGAATGCGGTGAAAAACGCGTTTTACAGCTGTTTTTCAAGCAGTAGATGGAAACGCTCAATTTACCTTGTTTCGCCTTTGCCTTATGTTATCAAATGGTGCCTGTTCATGGGATTAGATCCTGTTCAGTCGCCGATTAGGTTCTCTGGATACAGGAACTTCGATAAGTGACCGATTGTTTGTCGATGAGATGCGCAAGCTGGAAGGCTCACAGAGGCAATAAATAGCTGCGAACTGAGAGCAACAAATTTGAGATTTACTTTCTAGAAGTGCCCAAATTACACCCACAAATATTTTTGGCTACGAGGTAGTGGTACGCAGCCAGTAAACGATTGCTGCATAAATTTTCATTTGAGTAAATTTAAGGTGACATTGAAGCTGATCATGTTTACCTAAGTGAGATGCAAGGAAAATGTGTGCCACCATCACCTCTAGCAACCTAGGCAGATATCTTTGTGTGGTACTCATGCACTTGGGTTATTACATTGCCCATGCTTTACTCCTCTCCCTTCCTCATTCAACTTGCCAATCAGCGGTGTCACAAGAAATAGGTGAACCACAATTTTGATCAGAGACCAATGGGTGGGCAATCATTGATCAAGAGATGGCCACAGCAAAGCACACATTAAACTTGTAATTTACTATAACTTCATCTTGCCCTGACACTGCTAACAACATCAAGTTAGAGAACGCTCTGTTCGTTATAAATATCAACAGTCGATTTGTAAATGCCGACTATGACAACCAAAGTTGGTTAAAGCAATCAAAGTGGACACTAAGTCTACCAGCTAACTAAAAATGTGGGTAGGGCAAATCTGGAAATGGTTTTATAAAATGGCAAATATTGCAAACTAATATGAAAG